CTCCCGTCTCCTATGGGCTGTTTTTAACTGTGCGCCCTCAGCTACAACTCCGCCAACACCTGCAAATTTAGGACGTAAGCAATACACAACAAACTTCACCTCAAGGTCAGCGAAAATTTCCATCAACTTGGTCTCGGTAAACTCCCACGTAATCCTATTACAATTATTGCCCAGAGGGGTGATGGCAATTTCCTTCAGGCCTCTCTCCTTGACACGGTCCTTCAGGGCGATCAGGGCACGCAGGTGGTTCAGGTAGAATGCACCAGGGTTACTAAATTTAGTTTGTTTTGCCCATGGTTTGGAGACCAGATGCCAAATTTCTATATTTTCCACCTGTTGAATTCGAATATCTCCAACTTCAAGAGTTACGCCTACTCGTCCTGGGTGTCCAAATTTATTAGCCAGGGCAAGCGCTGCTCCTCGTGAGTTAACCAGGTCGCCACCAACCAGGTGACAGATGACATCCTCAGCAGCATTGGTAATGTTTTCATTTCGAAATTCAAACTCACATTTTGCTGCCGTTGACCACCACTTCCGCTCTCCGAACTGAACCTTTTTGTAATACGTCAGGGCGTCCTTCTCGTGGACTGTCCACTCCGTCTGCTCGTTTTGTTTCAGGACAAATTGCTTCCTTGCGTCTTCCACTCGACCGGGCGTTGTATCCAAGGTCAACTCACTGTTTTTTACCGGAGACATCGAAATGACAGCCTTCAAGGCGGCTACCTCCAGTTGTAGTGACCTGAGTGTTTGTAGGACCCAATCATCAGAGTATATGCCGATGAAACGAGGCTCTTGCGGGGTGCGGTGACCTGTTTTTCCGACAAAGCGTCTTTGTTGATGTTGTTTTCGTGGTGTCGCCGCCATTGAACTTTTCATCGTCCAATATTGACCTAATCAACGGAAGATTTTGGCCACCTTCACTCACAGGGCAAGAAGGACTCCTTATATACACACTCCGATCAGCGATAGCAGCTTTCTCACTCAAAAAACTTAATTTCTTATCAAAAATAAGTACCAAACAAATTTTACACGTCCATATCTTTCAAAGGGGGGCGTGTTAATTCATCAAAGGGGGGCGTGTTAATTCTTCAAAGGGGGGCGTGTTAATTCATCAAAGGGGGGCGTGTTAATTCAGTTATAGATGAATCAACTTAAATTCAAAAATTCTCGAATTCAAATAAACTGAACGAAAATGGCACTTAAGTGAACAATTTGGTCCATCTTGATCGGATATGCTATCCGTTTTGAATTAGGGGTCGCGTTATAAACGACTTGAATCATATTCAAAAATTTTCGAAAAAAAATTTCAAATAAACTGAACGAAAATGGCACTTTAGGGAACAATTCAGTCCATCTTAATCGGATATGCTATCGGTTTTGACCTCAGATTCAGATTCAGATTCAGATAATATTTATTCCGTATAGATCAACATATGTACAGAAATAATCTTTGGAATAGGTCACTGTAATACAGCTATATCTCAATATAACTATAATACAGCTTACTAAATTTAAAATACATTTAAATACAGTTCACACAATTTTACACAAAAAATATTCATGCACGTCATAGAACATTTTGTCGTAGAATATTAATTCCAATTCCTTCTTAAACACTTGATAACTATCAATGTTTTTGATTCTCTCGGGAAGATGATTGAAAATTCTAGGGATCATGATGTGAGGGGACTGCGCAGTCAGCAACAGTCTGTTTGGTTTGACAAATAAGTCTTGCTCCGCTATAGGTTTATTTCGAGTACTGCGATTCTGGTGCACCTTGCTTTCAGAATTTTTGAGGAACAATTCAGGATACTTTTTGTAAAATTTAACACATTCAAAAGCGTACACAGAGAAAGCTGGCAGGATCTGAAATTCTTCAAAAAGTGGTCGGCAAGACTCGACAGGTGTCAATGCCTTCCAGTATCTTTTACCTGCCATCGCACGGATAACTCTCTTTTGAGCAATGAAAACCTTTTCCAACATAGGCGACCCACCCCAAATTACAATTGAGTATAGTAAGTGACTTTGAACATGGGCGAAATATACATCTCTTAGCAATTTAGTTTGAATGCGCTGCCTTAATTTAACAAAAAGGTACGTGGTACTTCTCAGTTTCGCTACAACCTGATCGCATTGAGTGCTCCAGTTCATTGTATCAGAGAGCATTACACCAAGTATTTTTGCTTGATTTACCACTTCAATTTCAGCGTCGTTAATTCTGATTACAGGCGGTTCCAATTTACTAGTTTGAGCAGTATGCATTTGCAGCACCTGAGTTTTCTTTTCGTTCAATCTTAAGCGGTTAATACTGGCAAAATCAATCATTTTGTCATTAGCCACAGCAGTTTTTTCGTTCAAGGCTTTGTAGTTTCTAGCCTTTACAATAAAAGATGAATCATCTGCGAACAAGATAAGAGCGGCGACAATGATTTTTAAGGGCATATCATTACCGTAGGAGGAATAGCCAAAAGGGCCCAATACTGTTCCTTGTGGAACGCCAATCGAAACATTTTCCATTGTTGACTCAAATAATTTTTGCTCGCCATTTTCACCCACACCAAAAAGTTGAACAAGTTGTTTTCTATCAGTAAGAAAGGACTTTAACCAAAGGAGGGATACATCATCAATTCCAAATTTTTTCAGTTTTGCAAGCAGTATTTCGGGAACGACACACCCAAAGGCATTAGAAAAGTCATACAGAATCACATTGATTTTTTCTCTATTTTCCAACGAATCGTAGATTTCGGACACTAACTTAAAAAGTGCAGTCACTGTGCTCCTGCCTTTTCGAAAACCGTGCTGCTCGTCCGCAAGGAGATTGTTTTCAGCGAAATAGCTTTCAATTCTATTTAGGAAACATTTCTCAAATACTTTTGCTACAGAAGATGTTAAGGCTATTGGGCGATAACTACTAGCATCGGATTTCTCACCCTTCTTTTTGTACAATGGCTTGATTACAGTTAATTTTAGCACGTCCGGGAATTTACCAGTGCGAAACGACTCATTCACCATAAATGCCACAGGGAACACTATATAGCCAGAAATCTTTTTCAACGTATCCATAGATAATCCATCCCAGCTAGATGATTTCTTTGACGGGAATAACTTCAAAATTTTTTCTATTTCAAATGGGGTAACGTCAGGCTGAGCAGTACATTTTATTCCATTTGAAACAATACTCTCAGTACAGAGTTCTATTTCATCACTACTAAGATTTACCTGAGGTTCAACAAATTTTTTAGTTAAAAAGTTGCAAATTTTCTGTAAATCCTTTTCCATTTCACCATCAATTTCAATTTGCTTAATATCATTTTCGTGTTTATCTTGGTTCAAGTTGCCAGTTTCGTTAATAATTTTCCAGGCCATACCAGTCTTATTAGAGGCTTTTAACATTTTCTGGTCATTGTGAGTTCGGACTGCATCATTTATGAGAAAGCCAACGTACTTTTGTTTACTTTTATATTTGAATTTAAGACTTCTTAATCTGTCACAGTTAGGATCATTCCTTTTCAGTGTAGATATTTGGGCACCCAAGAGCCTTAATTCTTCCTTTTGCTTACGAAGAAACTCAGAATCGGCATTATTTTTCCTATTTACTCTAATTAATATTTTCTCCTTTGGGAAACTCATTTCAAAGTACATAGTAAGCTTATCCATGAATTTACAGCACATATCATCAATATCATCACTTTCATAAACTTCGGTCCAACTTTCTGTACTTAAGAGGTGGAAAAATTCAGTCCAGTTACTATCAGAGAATCTCCTGATAATTTTGTAATAATCTCTATCGAGTTCAATTGGAATTTGAAAATTAACAGACACCATTCTATGGTCGCTAAAAAATACATCACTGACAAAAGAAGTATGCGAGCACTTTAAGGAACTAAATACATGATCAATCAAAGTTGCTGACGTGCTTGTAACCCGGGTAGCTTCGATTCCATTTACCAGTGACATTTCATAGCCATCCATTAAGTTCAGTAATTTCATTTTATCAGCATTGTCTGAGTTAAGATCAACATTCAAATCACCAACTAGTAACATTTCTTTCTCTGGACTTCTCAATAAGATTTTCCAAATTTTCAATGAAGAACTCAATATCTCTGTTTTCAGGATTACTCGGTCGGTACACCGTCAAAAGCGTAATAATTCGATTTGCAACCTTCAATTCAACTCCACAAGTTTCGAATCTAAATTCAATAGAAGTTGGAAATAGTTTCTTGCAATTAAATTTGAGGCCTTTTTTGACTAAAATTAGCACTCCCCCTCTTTCTCTTATCTTACGGCCAAAGAAAGTAACAGTTTTATAATTAGTTATGCTAAAATGTTTGACTTCCTTAGAACAGAGCCAATGCTCATTTATTACAATGATTGAGGGCTTTTCGCGCAAATTAGTTATGTAATTTTCGAAATTCGCTAATTTTTCTGCAGATTTAACGCCTTGGATATTGAGCCATTTTTGGATAAGAGCGATTTTCAAATTTTCAACTTTACTTTGACCATTCTTTTTTACGCGACCTTGTGGAGAGACTTGCTGATTGCGTTTTTTGAGCTCTTTCTGTAATTAATCGTTACGGACTTGGAAGGCGATGGTGCTGCAATCTTCGGAGACGGTTTGGTTGAAGCGCGCAGCGTACTGGTGCGAGTAGCAGCTACTTTCTGCAGTGAACGTTTCCTGCCCTCAGGATGTGACTCACGTAATTGTTCAGTCAACGCATCGATGCTGCGTCTCACTCCGGCCATCTGGTCATTCATGAAACTTGTCAGGTCGACTGTTTCTGGTGCCTCTGGGGCCGCAATTAAGACTGGGTGCTCGGGCGAAGAAGAAATTAGGACCTCCTTTGCAAGACTTCTCTCAGTTCCACTCACCATAACAGTGGAAGGTTGTCGGGGGGGATTTTGAGATAAAACAGGTAGGGGCAGCGGGGGTAGGCTACCCCCACCGACAGAGCCTTCCCGAAGCAATGCGCTTTCACGCTCGAGGTTAGCAAAGAATGCAGTCAGTTTACGGTCATGAGCGTCCCTCCATCCAGTCCCTCTCGTCTGTGACACAGCCCCACCAGGTAGCTTATTGGGCTCCAGACTGCAAGTGCGTACCTCATCAGGATTGGTAGTCTGATTTAAATTTTTATCACCTTTATTAGCTGGCGATGAGGTGGGGCTAGGCGCACGGGAGGGCACCCCAGCTTTTTTACAGGTCTCCGGTGTGCACCTAGCTTGTCCACCTGTTCCTGCTGTGACTTTGGCAGATTCTGATGGGGCACTGCCTTGCCCGGGGAAAGCTGCGGGCCTTGCCACATGTTGATCGCTGCTGATTAAGTGGCACGGCAGCGCAGCTGAAACAAAAGAACATTTTTGTGAGTTTATTTGCTTATTATCCTCAGGGACGAATGTCGAGATTCCTGGTGACGAACAACGCTCAGTAGCCGGCTCCTCGATGCTCTGTCGGGTCTGCTGTATTTCCGATCTCATACTACTCAAAGTGACGTTTAGGCGATCGAGCAGCGTTTCCTCGTCACCGCCCAGTGTTGCATTAGACGAAGAGCCGCTCTCAAGCATATCCGAAACGGGCAGTGTCCTTTGCTTCTTTGTTGCTTTACCTACGACAAAGCTCTTCGACTTGTGCGTCCACGACCCAGCAGTTCTCCAGGTCCTGTTTGTCGGAGATGAAGGGGCGCGCTGCAACTCTTCCCTCCGAGGAAGGTAGTGCACTACCAGAGTAACGTCATCATCTGCAAAGATCTCTCTCAGCTTTTGTTTTGTGAATTTCCATGGAATGCCATCCAATCCAGCTCCCAATTTAGTTATGGCAATTTTCTGAAGTTTTTGTTCCCTCATTTTGTCACGCAAAGCAGTAAGAGCAGCCACCTCATTTCTGTAAAACCTTCCCGGGTTTTTGTGCTTCTTGTCACCTGTTCTCTCTTTGGATGCAACGTGCCAAATCGCTCGATCCCCCTCTATGCTTTGCATGACGATACTGCCGATGCGAATATTTGAGCCCGGCGCGTTGATGGCGCCAAACTTGTCAATCAAGGCCTTCGCCGCACCCTTGGTATTTTTCAGGTTAGCTCCGACTAGGTGGGCGACAACATCCTCTTCCGCTTCAGCGATGTCCATACATTTATACTCAAACTTAACCTTGCCTTGGTACTCAGGAGATCTCCTCTGCCGAATTATTCTTCTGAAGTCCCTAAGCATGGCCCTGTCTTCATCGGTCCAATCTTTTCTCTCAGCCGCAGGAGCTGTGTGTCCGAGATATGCATGGTCAGCAGATTTCGGCTGCTCGCCGTTTTTCGCTACCGCGCGCAGTTGTTTGCCGTTCTCCTTGTTGTCATTCATTTTCACGATGTTTCGCTTCGTCTTTTGAGTCGCTGCATTTTTGTTGACGCTGTTTGTTTTGACTGGCACGCATCCGCTTGCACCTGCCGCTGAACTGGGTCGCGCAAATTTGCTGACGCTGTGTTCGATTGCAGCAGATAATTTTTGCACCGAAGCGTCGGACGTGTCACTCAGTTTCAAAAATTTGAGAATTTCGTTCAATAAATCTCTGACTTCACCCTGTGTTGCAAGAAGCTGGGCGAGCTCGCTCTCTTGAGAAACAGCCAGTCCCTGCGAGGCAGACCTGATACAATTCTTGGCGTCCATCTTCACTGACCTTTAGAAAATCTTGATTGCTTCCAAAAATATCGGGCCACAGAAGTCACACTATTCAGGCAGTCACGAGATAATGTCCAAATTGTGCACCAAAATTGCAGGAAAGCAGCGAAACGTTCGCTACTTTTTTCTGCCGCGCGAGCGGTGTGCCGGCACGTCCACTCGCTGCGGCTGCTCAACTCCAACTCTCTATTCAGGCAGTCACGAGATAATGTCCAAATTGTGCACCAAAATTGCAGGAAAGCAGCGAAACGTTCGCTACTTTTTTCTGCCGCGCAAACGGTGTGCCGGCACGTCCACTCGCTGCGGCTGCTCAACTCAACTCAATTCATCTTTAACTAGGCCCCTAATTGTCTGAGGTCAAAACCGATAGCATATCCGATCATGAAGGACCAAATTGTTCCCATAAGTGCCATTTTCATTCAGTTTATTCGAAATTTATTTTCAAAAATTTTTGAATATGGGTCGAGTCATTTATAGCTCGTCCCCTAATTGTCTGAGATCAAAACCGATAGCATATCCGATCAAGATGGACCAAACTTTTCTCTAAAGTGCCATTTTCATTCCGTTTATTCGAATTTTGTTATCGAAAATTTTTGAATATAGGTTAATTCATCTTTAACTAGGCCCCTAATTGTCTGAGGTAAAAACCGATAGCATATCCGATCAAGATGTACCAAATTGTTCCCTTAAGTGCTATTTTCATTCAGTTTATTCGAAATTTTTTTACGAAAATTTTTGAATATGGGACGAGTCGTTTACAACTTGGTCCCGAAATGTCTGAGGTCAAAACCGATAGCATATCCGATCATGAAGGACCAAATTATTTCCTAAAGTGCCATTTTCATTCATTTTATTCGAAATGTATTTTCAAAAATTTTTGAATATGGGTTGATTTATCTTTAACTCGGCCCCTAATTGTCTGTGGTCAAAACCGATAGCATATCCGATCAAGATGTACCAAATTGTTCCCTAAAGTGCTATTTTCATGCAGTTTATTCGAAATTTTTTTTCGAAAATTTTTGAATATAGGACGAGTCGTTAATAACTCGGTCCCGAACTGTCTGAGGTCAAAACCGATAGCATATCTATCAAGAAGGACGAAATTGTTCCCTAAAGTGCCATTTTCATTAAGTTTATTCGAAATGATTTTTTGAAAATTTTTGAATATAGGTTAATTCATCTTAAACTAGGCCCCTAATTGTCTGTGGTCAAAACCGATAGCATATCCGATCAAGATGTTCCAAATTATTCCCTAAAGTGCTATTTTCATTCATTTTATTCGAAATGTATTTTCGAAAATTTTTGAATATGGGTTGATTTATCTTTAACTCGGCTCCTAATTGTCTGTGGTCAAAACCGATAGCATATCCGATCAAGATGTACCAAATTATTCCCTAAAGTGCCATTTTCATTCAGTTTATTCGAAATTTTATTACGAAAATTTTTGAATATGGGACGAGTCGTTTATAACTCGGTCCCGAAATGTCTGAGGTCAAAACCGATGGCATATCCGATCATGAAGGACTAAATTGTTCCCATAAGTTCGAAATTTATTTTCAAAAATTTTTGAATATGGGTCGAGTCGTTTATAGCTCGTCCCCTAATTGTCTGAGGTCAAAACTGATAGCATATCCGATCAAGATGGACCAAATTATTCCCTGAAGTGCTATTTTCATTCAGTTTATTCGAAATTTATTTTACGAAAATTTTTGTATATGGGACGAGTCGTTTATAACTTGGTCCCGAGATGTCTGAGTTCAAAACCGATAGCATAATATCCGATCATGAAGGACCAAATTGTTCCCTAAAGTGCCATTTTCAGTCAGTTTATTCGAAAATGTTTTTTGAAAATTTTTGAATATGGGTTGATTTATTTTTAACTCGGCCCCTAATTGTCTGAGGTCAATACCGATAGCATGTCCGTTCAAGATGGACCAATTTGTTCCCATAAGTGCCATTTTCTTTCAGTTTATTCGAAATTTATTTTCAAAAATTTTTGAATATGGGTCGAGTCGTTTATAGCTCGGCCCCTAATTGTCTGAGGTCAAAACCAATAGCATATTCGATCAGGATGGACCAAATTGTTCTCTAAAGTGCCATTTTTTATTCAGTTAATTCGAAATTTTTTAACGAAAATTTTTGAATATGGGTGGAGTCGATTATAACTCGGCCCCTAATTGTCTGAGGTCAAAAGCGATAGCATATCCGATCAAGATGGACCAAATTGTTCACTTAAGTGCCATTTTCATTCAGTTTATTCGAATTTTGTTTTCGAAAATTTTTGAATATCGGTTAATTCATCTTTAACTAGGCCCCTAATTGTCTGAGGTAAAAACCGATAGCATATCCCATCAAGGTGGACAAATTTTTCTCTAAATAGCTATTTTTATTCAGTTTTTTCGAATTTTTTTTTCAAAAATTTTTGAATATGGATCGAGTCGTTTATAACTCGGTCCCGAAATGTCTGAGGTAAAAACCGATAGCATATCCGATCAAGATGTACCAAATTGTTCACAAAAGAGCTATTTTCATTCAGTTAATTCGAAATTTTTTAACGAAAATTTTTGAATATGGGACAAGTCGTTTATAACTCGGTCCCGAAATGTCTGAGGTCAAAACCGATAGCATATCTGATGAAGAAGGACCAAATTAATCCCTAAAGTGCACTTTTCATTACGTTTATTCGAAATGATTTTCCGAAAATTTTTGAATATGGGTCAAGGCGTTTATAACTCGGCCCCTATTTGTCTGAGGTCAAAATCGATAGCAAATCCGATCAAGATGGACCAAACTTTTCTCTAAAGTGCCATTTTCATTCCGTTTATTCGAATTTTGTTTTCGAAAATTTTTGAATATAGGTTAATTCATCTTTAACTAGGCCTCTAATTGTCTGAGGTAAAAACCGATAGCATATCCGATCAAGATGTATCAAATTGTTCCATAAAGGGCTATTTTCATTCAGTTTATTCGAAATTTTTTAACGAAAATTTTTGAATATGGGACGAGTCGTTTATAACTCGGTCCCGAATTGTCTGATGTCAAAACCGATAGCATATCCGATCATGATGTACCAAATTGTTCCCTAAAGGGCTATTTTCATTAAGTTTATTCGAAATGTTTTTCTAAAACTTTTGAATACGGTTCAAGTCGTTTATAACTCGGCCCATAATTGTCTGAGGTCAAAACCGATAGCATATCCGATCAAGATGGACTAAACTTTTCTCTAAAGTGCCATTTTCATTAAGTTTATTCGAAATGATTTTCCGAAAATTTTTGAATATGGGTCGAGTCGTTTATAACTCGAAGTTTATTCGAAATGTTTTTCTAAAACTTTTGAATATGGTTCAAGTCGTTTATAACTCGGCCCATAATTGTCTGAGGTCAAAACCGATAGCATATCCGATCAAGATGGACCAAACTTTTCTCTAAAGTGCCATTTTCATTAAGTTTATTTGAAATGATTTTCCGAAAATTTTTGAATATGGGTCGAGTCGTTTATAACTCGGCCCCTAATTGTCTGAGGTCAAAACCGATAGCTTATCCGATCAAGATGGACCAAACTTTTCTCTAAAGTGCCATTTTCATTCCGTTTATTCGAATTTTGTTTTCGAAAATTTTTGAATTCATCTTTAACTAGGCCCCTTAATGTCTGAGGTCAAAACCGATAGCATATCCGATCAAGATGTACCAAATTATTCCCTAAAGTGCTATTTTCATTCAGTTTATTCGAAATTTTTTTACGAAAATTTTTGAATATGGGACGAGTCGTTTACAACTTGGTCCCGAAATGTCTGAGGTCAAAACCGATAGCATATCCGATCATGAAGGACCAAATTATTTCCTAAAGTGCCATTTTCAGTCAGTTTATTCGAAATGTTTTTTGTGAAAATTTTTGAAAATGGGTTAATTTATTATTAACTCGGCCCCTTATTGTCTGAGGTCAATACCGATAGCATATCCGATCAAGATGGACCAATTTGTTCCCATAAGTGCCATTTTCATTCAGTTTATTCGAAATTTATTTTCAAAATTTTTTGAATATAGGTCGAGTCGTTTATAGCTCGGCCCCTAATTGTCTGAGGTCAAAACCAATAGCATATTCGATCAAGATGGACCAAATTGATCACTTAAGTGCCATTTTTATTCAGTTTTTTCGAATTTCTTTTTTTTTTAATTTTTGAATATGCGTCGAGTCGTTTATAACTCGGCCCATAAATTGTCTGAAGTCAAAACCGATAGCATATCCGATCTAGATGGACCAAATTATTCCCTAAAGTTCCATTTTCATTCTGTTATTCGAATTTTGTTTTCGAAATTTTTTGAATATAGGTTTATTCATCTTTAACTAGGCCCCTAATTGTCTGAGGTAAAAACCGATAGCATATCCGATCAAGTTGTACCAAATTGTTCCCTAGGTCTATTTTCATTCAGTTTATTCGAAATTTTTTTACGAACATTTTTGAATATGGGACGAGTCGTTTATAACTCGGTCCCGAAATGTCTGAGGTCAAAATCGATAGCATATCTGATCAAGAAGGACCAAATTGTTCCCTAAAGTGCCATTTTCACTAAGTTTATTCGAAATGATTTTCCGAAAATTTTTGAATATGGGTCGAGTCGTTTATAACTCGGCCCCTAATTGTCTGTGGTCAAAACCGATAGCATATCCGATCAAGATGTACCAAATTATTCCCTAAAGTGCTATTTTCATTCATTTTATTCGAAATGTATTTTCAAAAATTTTTGAATATGGGTTGATTTATCTTTAACTAGGCCCCTTAATGTCTGAGGTCAAAACCGATAGCATATCCGATCAAGATGTACCAAATTATTCCCTAAAGTGCTATTTTCATTCAGTTTATTCGAAATTTTTTTTCGAAAATTTTTGAATATAGGACGAGTCGTTTACAACTTGGTCCCGAAATGTCTGAGTTCAAAACCGATAGCATAATATCCGATCATGAAGGACCAAATTGTTCCCTAAAGTG